GTGGTCGTACGCTAAATCCCAAGAGCATCTAGAACACTCTTTTGTGCATGCGTGGGGTCCACTCGAGATTCAATCGTCGTGAAGCCCTACCCACCGCATGTTTCGGAGCGGACTTCAAACCCCCGAATTAAATATACTTAATTGTCCCCCAGAAAAAAAACTGCCCAAAAAATATCCAAATACGTATTTTTTTAATTTTATATATATAGTTTTTTTTTAAACTACGAATATATATCTGAAATTTCAAAGATTTATTAGTGGTTTGTAAATTTCTATATCAAATTTATAAATTAATTTATTTTGCGAAATTGAATCGAACTCCATCTGTTAAAGACATATAGAAATAAAAGTTTAGAGATCCAAATTACATCCTCGTATATAAAAAAAACGGAAAAAGATAGAAAAAGACAAAATAATTAAAGGAATGGGAGCATCTTCGTGAAGAGCACGAACAACCCAATATAAACTGTAGAGTTGATAAGGCCTGAGGTAAGAATAAAGTCCTCAACAACCTTTGTTTTCTATTTCTTCTTGATTTGGTCAACGAGAGATTTAACAATTAATATTGTCAACCTGAATATAGGTATTAAGGTATGTATTATCGACTAAGGTATCAAAAGTTAAAGTCTCCACCTCTACCAGACTCCATAGCATTGAATTAGAAAAAAAAAACCATTATTCATACTTTATTTTTATTTAGTATAAGTTCATATTATTGATGTAATATATCGATTAGACTAAAAACAATTACTTAATATCATAAAAATAATAGACAAGATTATTTAAATAAAGTAACAAAGCTCCGTGATAAAGATATTCTATTCCTTTTTAAAAAATCAGAAGATCAATTTCTCGAACAAAATTGGACAAGAAAAAGAAAATGTTACTTTTTAAATTTGTTTCGACATGCCTTACTTTGTACTATCCAATGAAAGTAAGACTCTTACTGTAAGAGTAGACTTATCAAAATTAAATTTAAAAAGAAATTCTAATTAGTAATTGAAATTTCTTAAAGTAGGAAGATAGAGTAAACATGGCTACTAAATTAATATTTAAATTAAAAAAGATAGAAATAGTTGAAGCTAAAAATCTTCAACGCGCCTGTTGTGCGTTTGAATTCTACGAGTTCCCCACTATTTAAGCGCCACATCATACCACGCCCACTTCCCGTCACCAACGCTCTCTCTCTCTCTCTCTCTCTCTCTCTCTCTCTCTCTCGTCTTTCTTGATTTTGCGCTGATCTTCAAGTTCATGTGATTTTCGTTCTTCTTCTTCAACTTC